CTCCTGCTACTCCCACCTAAAGTGCTATCTGAACAAGTTTCTCACCTAGTATCATGAATCTATTTTGGTGCTTCTACCAAGTCTTCCTGTCTGGTCCTGTGGCCTTCTGCTTTTCCTTTCCATTTTCATTATTGCCTTTTCTGATCAAAACTGCTTAGGGTGAGTTTTTGACTCCCCACATCATTAATGCAGTCTATCTTCTCTCATCTTCAGACTCAAAGGTGTCCATGTCCTAATGTCAGAACCTGTGAATATGTTAAATCCTGTAGTAAAAGGTTATTAAGATTGCAGATGGGAGTAAGGTTGCTAATCAGCTAACCTTAAAATAAGGATTCTATTGGCCTAGATTATCTAGGGTGTCCAATAATCATAGAGGAGGTAGAAGTCAGAGGAAGATGTGAGGATGGAACAGTGGTTGGAGAGTTGCAGTGTTACTGGTTTGAAGATGGAATGCAGGTCGCCTCTAGAAGCTGGGAATGGCAGGAAAATGATTCTCAAATTTCCAGAAGGAAACGGTCGTGTTGTCACTTTCATTTCAGCCCAGTGAGATCCATCGCAGACTTCTACAGAGCTGTAAGATATTTGTGTTGCTGTAAGTTACCAAGTGTGGTAAGTTGTTTCTTATGGCAGAAATAGATGGGTAAATTCAAGTACTGTCTCCTGAGTCAGTGGTGCTCAAATTCAGCTGCACGTTAGACTCAGCTAGCAAACCCTTTTGTCCCCAAAGCCCAGGTTCACACCCAGGCCTTTAAAGTCTCTGGGTGTGAGACATGGGTATGAGAATGAGTTCCCTTGGGGATTCCAACCTGCAGCGAAGGCTGAGCACCTCTGCCTCATACACTAATCACTTGAGCACAAGTAATGAAAAAACCTCTTGATAACTGGGGGCCCTTGGGGCAGAGAAGAATGCAATGTCACCCCACTGTGAGCACTAGACTTTGCTTTTGGGGTAGTGGTGGGTTCCATCTGAACCTCTGGCCATTTAGCAGCTTAGAAATTGTATACCCATCTCCCCTCACTAGGGGGGATACTGGCTTCACTTTTATGGTGTTTATTAAACAATCTTCAAGGTACACAGAAACTTTTTTTTCCCAAGCCATTTGAGAATAAATTGCTAATCTACTAACCCCATCACACTTGAGTGTGTGTATATGACAACTTCCAAATCAGAAGTTACAGTTGGTACATTTGTTCCATCTAATCCTCCGCCCTATTCGAGTGTTAAATGTTCAAAAGGTCCTTAGGGGCAAGGATCCAATTTAGAATCATTGTTGCCTTTAGTTGACATGTCCATTTAGTCTCCTTGAGGCTGGAACAGCTCCTGTTTTTCCTTTACTCTTTCTGATCTTGGCTCTTGAAAATTACACCACAACTTGGGTTTATCTGTTTCTTTTCCTTTCTTTTTTACATTTTAAAAGGATAGGTTTCTTAGGAAAAGGAAAGATGCTTGCACAGACATAAGCAGGCAGAGTTGCCACTGCTGCTTTGCTTTGCAAAGTAAAAAGTTTTGTCAAAAGAAACGCCTGCATAGTCACAGGCAGGCAGAGCTGTCTTGTGTGTTTCCTGACAACTGCATTCAGGGTCTACATCTCAGGACCCAAGGGATGCATACTCTTGTCGGTAGGTGCATCCTGCTATTTGTCCCGTTGCTGAGGAGGTTCACTTAGGTCACTTGACTAAACCAATGCTGCCAGTCTTCTCCGCTGAAAAAACTGCTTCTGAAGTAACTATTTTACGCTTCGAGATGTCATTAATCTGTTCCTCATCGAACTTTTAATTTATTAATTTATATTAATATGGACTCATACATTTTTATTGTAACCAGTGGATTTTAATTCAGAACTATCATTATTTATTTTTGATGTCTAATTTCTTCCAAAGTTGGCAGTGGGAGCTTCTGTGGCCTTTTGACATGGCCCCAACATTCTTTGAGCACTTTTTATTTTCTGGCACAAAATGTTCCAGGCTCTTCTTTCAGGCTGTTAATAAACCCATGAGGTAGGTGCTATTATTATCACCCCCATATTAGAGATGGAGAAATTTGGGAACAGCTCAGGATCACATAGCTAGTTAGTTATGGTGGCAGGTCTGTGAACCACACCATTAAACTCCAGCCTGAGCTGTTTACCCCCTAATTTTTTTTATATTGGATGAAATAACTTTAGACTTACAGAAAAGCTGCAAAACTAGCACAGTTCCTGGTTACCCTTAATGCAGTTTCCCTCAGTGTTAACACACAGTACAATAACTGAAGCCAGGGCACTGGCTTCCCACAGTACAATAACTGAAGCCAGGGCACTCAGTGACCCGGACGGTTAACTCACTTGGCTGCCTTTCCCAGGGAGGTCCTTTTCCGATCAAGGATCTCACACTGTATTTGGCTGTTATTCCTCCTTCAATCTCTGACAGTTTCTCAGTCTTTCTTTTAATAACCTGTCACCTTTGAACAAGGTAACTGGTCTATGAATTTGTTGAATGCCGTCAGTTTGGATTTCCTGCTGTCCCGGATTAGACTGAGGTTTTACAAGGATACACAGGTGACACTGGGTCCTCTTAGTGTGTCATACCAAGATAGAGACATTACTGGGGATGTAAACGATCATTTAGTGAAGGGGATATTCATTAGGTTTCTTCTCCATAAAGTTACTATTTTTGTAGTTAGTATCTTGTGGGAGATACTTCAAGACAAAGCAAATGTCCTTATTTTTGCACACAACAGGTAACTACTATGGTGTTTTCCTAATGGTGATTTTATTCTCCATAATTCCATCTACATTTACTCACTGGAGTTCCACTGTAAGGAAAAACTGTCCCTTCCCCCCACTATATATTTAGTAAATTTTCCATCAGAGTAGCTCATGAATATTTTATTTTACAGGTTATAATCCATTACAGATCTGACCAGTAGTCACGCCTCTTTAAGTTGCTTCCTTTGTCCTGTGGACAAGCCCTCTTCTTTTTCTAAGAACTCCTCACTTTACCCAAAGATATTCCAGACTCACCATAATCTTTTTCTGACCCAGGAGTGAAATCTCTCCATGGAGCTCTGATTCCTTCTATTGGGGAATGAACTCAAGATCTAGACACTGCGTGCTCATTGCTATGGGGGTGCCAGAGCCTTCAGGCTCTCCTGGCACACAGGGCTAGGAACTTCACACATATGTTCTAACTCTGGCACTCACGCAGATGCATGTTTCCGTATTTGTATGTATATTAAAAACCAAACTCATATTACCTCCGAATCCCAATCCAACACAAGGTTCATTCTAAGTTTACTACCTTCTCATCTGTGGCTTTTCTCCAATATTGAGAAACCTGGCCAGGCCAGAGCCCTTTAACCATGCTACCATCTCTGCTGGAAGAGGTAGTAGGGGGATGTTGCATTGTACTTGGTTATAAAGGACAGGATTTTGACAGACCTAAGGGAACGTCATCCTGAGCACAGAGGAGAGCATGAGCAGCGGCTGATAGGTGAAGCAGCAAAGCAGGATGTTATGTGTGTACACCTAAAACAGGGAATGAATACATCTCAAAAGGTCTGAAGCTAATGCAACATGTAATTCATGAAGGTGATTTCATCAAGTGTCACGTCAATCTAGTTTTATTTCACCAGCTAGTGGATCACCGCTTCACATATAAGAGCAGCAAGTGACAGAAGCGAGGCTACTTAGGATTTAGATCCAAGGGCAATGGATTGGGGTGGGGAGCATGGAGCCCTAGTTGTCAGCTACCGTGGCAGCAGCTATCACAGAAATGTCAGGAGAGGTACTACAGAACCAGAGCTATGTGAGGAAGAGGGAGGAATCATGGTGATAAGGCTCTAAATCTGTGTGACTGGGAGAAGTGGTACCATGACCAGAAGCCCCAATCAAGGGTACTCTGAGTAAGCTCTAGTTCTCCCTTGAGGGCAAGCATAGGCTTAACTGCTCTGTGACCCAAAGTCTCACAAAGTGCCCTGTGAAGACAGACTTGACTCAGTAATTTATTCCTCCTACCTTCTCTCCTGATACCTGGGTTCTCCCTCAGTTCCCACTATCCTCTACACACATCTCTGACAATCCTCCTCTTGAGACTGGCTGCTCGTCACCCAGGACACAGCTGAAAACCCTCTCAAGTTCCTTTATGTGCTGGCTCCAGCTACCCTAGTCTATCTCAGTGACAGAGAGAAGAAAGTACTTCCCCTTCCTGGTTGACTTGGCATCGCCCAGGTCTACACTGTTCTCTCCAGCCCCACTGGCCCCAGGGTCTCCTTGAGCTCTTCCATCCACCCTCCCCCCATCTGGCTTATGAACCCTCCTGTACCTGTGCAACGCAGCCTGTCCCACCTGCTGGGCTGGATGGCCCCCACGGCCCCCACAACTCTGTACCAGAATTGCCTGTTTGTCTTCTTCCCCTGATTTGTATATTTTGGGGAGGTGAAGCTGTTTTACTGACCACAGTCCCGACACAGATGGCACTCTTCTGGACACACATCAAATGCTTAAGGAAGGAAAGAGCAGATTCTTTCCCAACTCTTTTCTCACTGCACCCTCTGACTGTCAGCCATCCTTTCTCTCCTTGTTGCTCAGCTCCTTCCTCTAGGGCTCAGCTCTTCAACGCAGCCTTCTCCATCTCCCTGCCACTCTCCTCCTTGGCCTGCTTGGACACTGAGCCTGCATCCATGTTGGTCTATCAGCCTGTGTGACACTGACGCGGGGCGGCAGAGGTGCTCAGACAGTGAGTGTGTGGCTGCAGGACGCTCCAGCCCCACCCGCCAGGAGGCCGTCTAGGGATAAGGCAGCCCCAGCAGCCAGCCTTGTTCTCTGCTCCTGCCGGACTATGGCAAGTGGGTAACGAGGCAGGGGAATTCTGCCACCTGGTTGGGAGCCCAGCCCTAGGGCCTCCCGTGACATGTTGCCCGGCCAACCACTGAAACCTCAGGCTTGTGAGCTAGTTGGTGCCAGGCTGCCTTCTCACCGGCCCTTTCTCTCACAGTCCCCAGGGATGGAGAAACAAACAACAGCACAAAGAACCACAAGAAAACAGCCACACACTGGGTTTTGTCCATAATTATTACTATAATGATTTACAAAAAAAGTTTTTTTTTCAGGCAACTGTGTTAAATTATTATACATATCTGGGAGAGGGAGCTGGGTCCTGGCCACAGGGTAAATGGAGACCTCGTTCTTGGGGGGAAGGTCGAAGTAAATGTGCCCCCTTCCCACCTTCTAGGTCTGACTCCTGATTATGGCTTCCCCATTGCAAATGAAGACCACAAACCCTTCTCTGTCCAGGGTACTGGGGTAAAGGAGAGAGGCAGTGGGTCAATGAAGTGCTTAGGGTGAGCGCCACCAACTGTGGCTGCCCAAACCCCCTACATCCTCTGTCTGGCTCCAAAGGGTTGGACCCCAGGCCAGAACCCCTCACTGGGGACAGCAGACTGCCCAGCATCAGTCTACACCAACACATCCGCTCAGGAAGAGAGAGTGAAAGGGTCAGGGATGTCTAGGTTGGGCCCTCTGGGCTAATCTGTCAGGCGAGGAAGCAGAGATGCACCAGCAAGGAGCTGCTCCCTCCTCCTCCCCACCCCCCAAGGCTAGTTACACAGGCATCCAGGCACTCTGGGCCCTTGAAAGGATCCTGTTAGAGGAAAGGGGGCATTGGGTGTTTGGCCTTAGAGCTCAGGGATGCAGCCCTGAGGGTCAGAGCAAGGAACCACAGGCTTAATTAGCCCTGCCAAGGGTAAGGCCCAGAACAACCCAAAGCTGGGCTCCTCAGTTCCTACACTCCAACTCAAGACTCCCATCCATGCGTGTGCGTGCGTGTGTGTGTGTGTATGTGTGTGTGTTGGGGGCTGCAGGGAAGCATTGCTGCACCACCTGCCAGGGACTCGGGCATGCAGGGGACCGAGGCCGAGTGTGTGAGCCCACGCCAGAGAGGGTCAAGGGCTCTGGCACCCCTTTCTCCCCATCCTCCCAGCACACTACACCCTCCTCCTGGGCACTAGAAGGTTTTACGATGAATAGCACGAGAGCCATCCTCTTCATACTCCTTTTTGGATACCCACATCTTCTTAAAAGTGTCCAGCGAGGCCAGGATGGAGCCACTGCGGGGAGGGAGGGACAGTATTCTTGTGGGCCCGAGGGCAGAGCCAACTGCCTTCACCTGACGCTCAGCTCTATTTCCCTGACCTGGCAGGGAAATCCACCCACCCCCACCTGCCTGGGGCAACCCTGGGAGAAGTGTCCAGGGCCAAACATGCTCCTCCCAGAGCCCTCCCTGTGAGCCCCGCCTCACCCGATCCATGTGGAGTACAGCCGTTCCTGGGGGGCGGAGATCTAGAGAGAGCAGGCAGCCCTGTAACTGCCCCATCCCACACCACATCCAGTCCCAGAGGCACCCTACCCAACCCTCTCTGCACCCCACCCAGCAGCAGGAGCAGCCAAGAGGGGAGAAGCATGGCTGGGCGAGGATGTGAGAGGGGGTCTGGAGGCGGCACCTGCCCTTTCCTCCGTGGGGCAAGGCGGCCTGGCGTCCCACGCTCCCTGTCACCTCACCTTGATTTTGACATCCTTCGGGGCAAGCTTCTTCACTTCACTTAGCAACCGGTCACCAAAGCCTGCAAACACAAGGTTGGCTGAACCAGGGTCCACATCTGACCGCTTTACCACCAGCTCCCCCACAGCTAACCTCTGGTGCTCCCTCAGTCCCTCTTCCCTCCCAAACTACTGCTGCTCTTCTTTCAGTGGTTCTTTTCCAGAACTAAGGTTGGGGAGAGTCACACTAAGGGCAGAAAAGATTTGGCACCAGGCCTGCAGGTGGACCCAGCTTCCAAAGAGCAACATGAGATGGAACTCCAAGTCACACAGTTCTCCCCAGCTCCTACGCTCCTCTACGCTCAACACACCAGCAGCCAAAACCCGCCAGAAGCAAAATCAAAGGCAAGTGACAAGTCAGGAGAAAGCATCTACCACTTCTATGCCTCAGGTGGGTAAAGAGCACACACAGGAGGGCATGGTGGGGGCTCTCAGTAGTAACTTGGGGAGAGGGACATAGTGGCACAACCTCTTGGCAGGAAAACTGGAAATATCTACCCAAGAAAAATGCATATGCCCACTCTGACTCAGCAGCCCCCTAGGATTCCCATCACTGAGACAAGAATATACGACATTCTCCACTGCAGCTCCTTCTGATTAGAAGTGGCCGCAGCTCCCTCCAAGGCCACCGGCAGGACAACGGTTAAATACACACCCATTCAGTGAAAGACCACTCAGCCACATAAGGAACTTACACTGACAAGGAAAGATCTCCCAGATGTGATGCCAAGTGAAGGATACAGGATGAGGAACTCACAGAGTTCGGTACAATTTGTGTCCAAAAGGGGGGGTGAGGGGAAATGCACATTTGCTTATTTATGCACAGATGTTACCAAGAGCAAGTCTGAGAAACCAGTAACTCCTGGGGAGGGAACTGGGTGATGAGGACAATGGCAGAAGGGAGGCTTTAATACATATCAGACCCCATGTAGACTTATCATCTGTTTATAAAGTAAAGAGAATTTAATTTTAAACTTTTTTCTAAAAAAAAAAAAAATGTTCACTGAGCATCAAAAAGCCCATGGAAAGCCACGTCCCAGGCTCCGGGGAACGAAGGAGGCTGAGAGTCCAGCTGCTACTGGTCTCCCAAGTCTCACCACCACCTCCCAAACGATGGTACCTTTGAAAAGCGTGGAGCCCCCAGAAAGCACAATATTGGCGAAGAGCGTCCGGCGAAGGTCCATGTCGGACTTGTGGATGGCGAAGGCCAGGACCTCATGGAGCCCCTCACTCTCGTCCCCTACCAGGTCTGGCTGGAACAGCAGCTCGGGAGCCCGGAATCGCGCTGGCCCCACCTTTGGAAGACAGAATTGAGAAGGCCTCTTCTTCCTCCAGGTCCCAGCGTCACCACTGCCCTCCAGTGCCAGGCCTGGAAACTTACATCGAGCGTGCTGCCATCTGGCAAGGTATACTGCACCTTCTCTGTCTCCAGAGCCTCATCCTTTTGCGGGTTGATGGACAGGTAGCAGGCTCGCTGCGGTGGGCAGGGACACGACCCTCAGAAGGCTGCCACCAGGACCCCGCAGCACTGCGCTCAACCTCACGCCTCGATCCCACTGCTTCCCATTCCCCACCCCATAACCTCAGGCCCTTCATCACCTCTTTGATGGTCCGGACAACCTCAAACTCAGCCGAGGTGTGAAAGTCGACTCCTTCCTTTCGCAGAAGTAGCCGGAGATAGCGGGAGACGTCACGGCCAGCGATGTCGACCCGCATGATGGAGTGTGGCATGGCAAAGCCCTCGTAGATGGGGACAGCATGCGTGACCCCGTCCCCTGAGTCTAAAACCACTCCAGTTGTGCGTCCTGTTGCGTACCTATCACAGGTCAGCATCCCTTCACCTCAGCCACTGAGGCCTGGGGACCTCCTCACCCCTGGAAGGAACCCTGGGACATTGCATTATCTGGTATGAAAAAGGGACGAGGGACTCCCTTAAAGTAACAGTCATGGGGAGGGGGTGGGTGTCAGATATGGGGTAATCTTGAGCAGGAGGTGGGCCATGGGGAAGATGGAGACTTAGGAGACCCCAGGGCTTAGAAGCACTCACAGACTAAGCACAGCCTGCATGGAGATAAACAGGGCCGGTACGTTGAAGGTCTCAAAGAACACCTCTGCTGCCTTCTCCCGGTTCTTACTAGGGTTGAGTGGAGCTTCTGTTAGAAGAACAGGATGCTACAAGAGAGAGCAGAGTTGTCAGCATGCGCAAAGACAACACGCTAGGCCCTAAAACGACCCCCTCGCCTCCACCCCACCTATGTAGTCACAGCCTGCTATCCTTCCCGAGGGCACTAGCCCCTTGTCTGCCAGCAGTTACTCTTCCATAGCTCCAGGACTCTGGAAATTTTGGTGGCAGCACCCGACTGTGTGGACCTCCCCCGCCCCACACACACAATGTAGAGTAGCAGGCCCATCGGAATGCAAGAGGAAACCTGACCAGGAGGCAGAGTGGGGAGTAGGCACAGCCCACAGATTCAGCCCGGTGGGAGGGGCTGGCTGCCACACCTCCTCAGAGAAGGTCTGCAGCTGGTCCTTGGAGTAGACATACTGCCAGATGCGCTCCATGTCGTTCCAGTCTCGCACCACACCGTGCTCCATGGGGTAGCGGATGGCTAGCAGTCCCCGGTGCTCCTGGGGGGTGCGGGAGGCCAGATGTGGCACCAGGTCCCTCACCCAGCAACCACCTTCTGCTCTCTGGAAGCTGCCCCTACCTCTACCCTGAAGAGAACCACCACTGCTGACTCGTGGCCCTGGGCCCCAAAACAGGCCCTGAACTTAGCACAGGTCCATTCCAAGAGCTTCTAAGGCCCTCAGAGCCCAGTCAGGGTCAACAAGCCAGGGACCTAAGAGGCTGGCGATGTGCTCCCTCCTAACACACAGTCCCTCCGCTTGTTCTTATGTTCATGTTCCCAGGGCTTTGCCTTGACCACTGACATCCTCTTCCTTGCTTCCTCACCCACTGCCCAACTTCCATCCATCTCCACTGCTTCATGGCTACTGCCAGAGCTCTTCATAACAAACCTGCAAGGCTTCCTCCTGCTGCCCACTGCTCCTCCCAGCTCTCTGGCTAGTGCCCACGTCTCCTGCATAGACCTGCTCTTTGACATGCCCCACAGCATGGTCCTTCTCGCCAAGTGCAGCTTGACCTCTCACCACAGCTGTGGCTCTGACTCCATCTCCTAAAAGCCCTTATCTGTACCATAGCTCTGCCCCCACTTCCCAGTACCCCACAATGTGATCCCTTGCATTTGCTTGGTATTCTTTCCTACCCTGTATTTGCGCTTTCTGCTGGGGACCTCGTCTGGCTATGTAGCCCCTAGGCAAGTCACCCCAGTCAGCTTGCAAGTGGTGGCCCCATGGCTCTTGTTTGGGTCAGCTGTCAAGGCCAGGTGACTCAGACTCTTAAATCACTTTTTAACCAGCTCCTCTCCCTGTAGCTTCCACATAGCTTCTAAGAGAGAGAGCACAAAGTGGCTGGTGATCCCCCATGCAGGAGCCATCGCCCTAGCACACAAAGCAAAGGGACCACAGTGCAGTATGGTGCACTTGAGGGTGGGAATCTAGAAAAGCCCAGAAGGGTGTCTGGCTGGTGGTCCCAGATAACAGATTTCTGGGACCTCTCCATCAATGCTCCTGGGACTATGAGGACCCCAAGCCCAGGCAAAGGTAGGCTTCCCAGGTGTTACCTCTGCTTTGGGTCCAATGAAGAGGTCCCCCTCCAGGGCTCCAGCCATCACCCGCATGTGTTTGGGGCGCCCAACACTGTGATGATAGATAAAGTCAGTGAGGTGGTGGGGGGGCACACTGAATGCACATCCAGGACCACCAAAGTCCAACCCGAATGGTCAAGAGCGTAACTGCACTCCAGAGGGCAAGGGTCAGAGCTCAGGTGTGTGTGGGACTGCAGAGCAGTCCTGCTGTTGGCAGGACGGCACACACAAGGTCAGGAGGTGGCCCTTCCTTTACCCACCCTCCCTCCTCGAGAAGGCTGGGATGCCAGCACTCTTGTGGCTCAGGGCTGGCAGAGGGTCAGCTTCTGCAGCCACAATGACTCAGCCCACTCTCTCCATTTTAGGCAGACCCAGGAAGTGTGGCCTAGAAAGTGGGGTGGTGGCTTCCCTTGTACACCCAGCTCTTGCTTCTGCCCCTTTCCACTGTCAGGTCTTCAGGAGAGAGATTCCGTTCTTAGAGGGATGGATGGACAAGCTATCAGTCCAAAATTTGACCCAAGTTCCCTGCACATCAACAGGAACCTGTAGACACCCCCAAGTGGAGTTGAAAGCTGAAATCCTACTGGGTGCTCCAGCTGGCTGTTCGCAGACCAGGCCTAGGGCTCGTGCAGCCAGTCTCTTTTGAGGACCTTAGGATCCCCCTCTACCCTCTGGGTTCTGAAACTCTAAAGCCTCCGGGATTTGAGAAGAGGCATGCCGGAGGGAAAACTCCCCCTTGAGTTAGAGCAGCCAAGGGGGCACTCAGGCTTTGTTCCCGTTTTCATTTTCCCCTCGCCCCTGCCACCATGGCACCATTTGGGGAAAGACTCCCCATGACTGGAACAAAATATTTTCTAGAGTCTGAAAGTAAACAAGTCCTGAAGAAAGGATTTCCTGGGAGGAATGGGCATCTGCACATCAGCTCCCTACTAGTTTAGTTCTTTCTCTTGGGAGCTCTATTATTCTTTCTGCTGCTACCACACCCTGTCCCCAGGGGAATGCTGGCTGCTTCCCTGACTCAGGAGAGACCAAAATCAGACTCCAAAGTGGAGGGGGAAGCCCAGAGCATTTCTCTTGTCCTTTCAGATCCTTCAACAGCATCAAGTTCACAAATTTGGTGTTTTTCTTACAGGTGGGGGCAACAGTTGTCTTCAACGAGAGCTGTTGACAGGGCCCATGTTCTCCCAGGAAGCAAACAAAAAGGTCAGGGTTGCTGCTCGGGCAACACTTACTAGTTTGGGAAACAGTATTTGGGAATCTGGTCTCCTGCAAAGCCAGCCTTGATCACCCCTGAACCCTGCAAGGGAAAACAATGTTTAACTCCGATCTGCAGCAAAGAGAGCTGGCTGCCTCCTGTGACAGGCCAGGGGTTGGGGTGGGGGGCAGCCAAAGATCCTGCCCATGGCAAGATCATTTACAAGAATGCCAGTGGTTCAAAACTGGTGGTGGTGATGATGGGGGGGAATGTGTGATTTTGCATCCCCTCTCCAAAATTTGACAATGTTTGGAGAATGTGGAGATAAATTAGGAGGTAGTGCTATTGGCAGCCTAGCTCTCCATTTTAGGCAGACCGAGGAAGTGTGGCCTAGGAAGTGGGTTGGTGGCTTCCCTTGTACACCCAGCTCTTGCATGTAGTGGGTAGGGGCCAGGCTGGATGCTACTAAACATCTTATAATGCATAGGTCATCCCCTCACAACCAAGAATTACTCAGCCCCAAATGTTAATACTGTGATAAACCATAAACTACATGTGCTTCTGCATACTCTAGGGTCAGCTCCTGGCAGGAGGAATCCACAGCATAAGCTGCCCCAAAAGTGAGCTTGCAGCAATCCCTAAGTGTGTGTCTCTCTCTCTTTTTTTTAAAGAAAAACAGTCACTGTCTTCCCAAAGTGGACAAGGACCACATACATGGCCCACTGGAGAGGATCACTGTGTGCTTGGGGACAACTGGCACTCTCTGTAAGTGGCTTCCTCAGAGACTACAGGTGAAGAAGAGCTTGGTCCTGGCACTGGAAGTTAGACTTAGGATCTTAAAGGGAACCTAGAATCTAGAAGCCTCCCACTCACTGAATAAATCAGCAACACAACCCTCTGGATGTATAGTGAAGAAGTAAACACTACAAAAGTTACAGAGGAGGGGCTGGAAGCCCAGAGGGACCGAGCAGGTAGCCCTCTGAACTCAAGCTTGTTGATTAGCTTAAGTGAATTACTTGCCCACTCAAAAAGGAAGTGGCCTGGTCTTTCCTATGGCCTGCTGGGGAGGACCCCCAAGCCCAGTTCTAGCCTTTTTATTAAACATCCACTGCTATGACTCAGGGAGCCCACATGGGTACTCTAAAAAAGACTGCCATTCAGGGATTCCATGGGGGTGGAGGGGAGTCACGTAGGAGGGAGACAGATCCCAGAAAGAGAAGTGAGTCATTACCAAAAACTCCAAAGCTCACATGCCTGAAGTAGAAACCCCAAAACGGGGGCAGTTCCACAGAACCAGCACTTCATTTTCTCCCTATGCGCCGGAAATTTCCGAGGCCAGAAATCCTTCTAGTGCAACTAAAAGCAAGCTGAGCCCCAGTGCTGAAGGACAAGGCCACAGGGAAGCCAGGCATCTTTCCTCTGATGTTTCCAGTTATCCCACACTGCTTATGGGTCCGGGGAGAGTGGTCCTGGACTCTCTCCACTCCCTTACCAGCTGTGGATTTCTGCTAGCACCGGGGCACTTAGGGACAGGGCCAACCAGATGTTGGTGGTTAAGTGGCTGGCAGAGGTTAACATGCATTTTTCCACCACTCCCCGGAAAAGAGCCCAGCAGGGCTAGTCGGCTCTGGCTGGACTGCCTGGGGGGTACTGTTGTAGAGGTCACCAGGCTAACCTCCACAAGGTGAGGCCAGCGGTGTGCAAAGGGGCAAATGCGACCCTTCCTCCACTGGAGGGACAGAGACCGAAAGAGGGGCCAAGGGCTAGGGTCGAAACCTGCCCAAGGCCCTTACTATCAACCAAAAAATAAAGTGTGCATCCTTGAGCTGGACGCACAGGTGCACCGGCAGGGCCGCCCCGCTGTCACCCCTGCCTCTCCCGTACCTCCCCGCCCGGTTCGGGTAGGGCTCAAGCAGGGGCGCCGCGGCGCCGGCTGGGGACTGGCCCCAAGGCCCGGGCTAGCGGCCAGGCGGGCGCGCGGGGCCCGGGAGGGGGCGGCGGGGGTGCGGCGCGCCGTGCACGAGCCGAGACAGGCGGGGTCCCTCCCCGCGCCGCCGCGAGCGCCCCCGGGGGCGGGGCGCCCGCCCTCCCCCCGGCTGCCGGGCCTCACGTTGTCGATGACCACCGGCTGGTTGGCGATGATGTCGTAGGACTCCATGGCCGGGCCGCGCCGGCCCTGCCCAGCAGGCGGGCTGCAGGAGGGACCCGCGGGCCGCAGGCGGGTGGACTAGGGACCGCGGCGGCTCCAGACGCGGCGCCGCGCCCCTCCCACCCCGAGCGCGCAGCCTACGCCAGCCCGGCGGGGCTAGCTGGAGGGCGCGCCCCGCGGCCAATCACCGCTCCCGCTCGGGTGGATTGACGGCCGGCGCCCCCGGCCGGCGGCGGGCTAAGGGGCGGGGCAGCGGCCTGCGTGCCAGCCAATGGAGGGCGGCCGGAAGGACTCCGGGCGCTTCTAAGGTAGGCTGCGCGGTGTGGGGATGATGTCATGGCTCGGCCCTTAAAGGGGCGGTGGGCACAGTCGGGCGAGCTGCCAATTCACCTGTACCTGAAGGCGTGTTTCTTGAGCTCCTGCACCTTCGACCCCCGCTCCGTCTTGACCGTGCAGTGCTCGAGGAGGCTGGCGCTGGATGTATTACTCAAAGCTTTTCTTTTTTGAGCCCTGGGGAGGAGCCTTTTCCTTGTGAAAATTACAATTTCGTGGTAACTTGGTAGCCGGCGTTTATGGATCACCTGCTGTGCGCTTGCCCGGCGCCTCTATTCCCGCCGAGCACCTCTATCCCCTCTTGGTAGACTATATTAACTCCGTGCAGTGACTCTAATATATTATTCCCACTTTACAGATGTGGGCACCAGGGGCCTCACACTTAGGTCACTTGCCCAGGGTTCTGCAGCTGGCGACATCTGGGAGTAGTTTGCAAGCAGCATCCAGCCGCGCTGGTGTCCACTCTTGCCACAGTGCAAGGTATGGGGTTCTAAATTCATTTACCAAACTGAGCCTTAGTTATTTGCCTCTGTATATACTTTCCTACTAGATTGCGAGATTAAGTTTGGTAAAATTGAAGCACAGAATCATACAGAAAAGTGCAGAAATCCTAAGCATACATTTCAATGACTTGTTGCAATGTGAGCACACTTGTATGATGGTCATTAGGTTTAAGAAACAACATGACCAGAAAACCACCGCTCCTTCAGTCACCTCGCTTCTCTGAGGTGACTGCTATCCTGAATTTTAACACCATGGGTTAGTTTTGCTTGTTTCAGAACTTTATGCAAATAGAATCACAGGAATGATCACGTGTATCTGGTTTCTATGCATTCATGGAATGCACCAGTTAAATATATTGAGGGAGATCTTTGTAATTTGGTAAGAAGCACATCAGGACATACAGCTAGTCAAAGCAAGGAAAGCCAGACAGAGTGAATATTATGTGTATGAATGTTTCCAAAGAGTGTCTGAGACATCTCCAAGACTTCAGTATGGGAGGGGACAAGGAATGGAGTGGGAATTCTTTTTGCAATATAAACTTTTGTATTGAACCATTTTTAACTTACCTCGTGCTTGTGTAACTTTCTCCTCATTCTTAAAATTGTGGCAAAAACATATAACATGAAATTTACCATCTTAACCAATTTTAAAGGTGCAGTTCATTGGTCTTAACTACATTCACAATGTTGTGCAGCTGTCACCACCATTCATCGCCAGAACTCCTTTCACCTTGCTTTTAATTATTTGGAATATATAACTAGATGTGGCATCGATGGATCTTATGGTCATTCTAATTTTAATTTTCTGAGAAACAATCATTTTCCATAGTGAATGCACCAGTTTACATTGCTGAGGACAACATACAAGGCTCCATTTTCTTCACATCCTCACCAACATTTATTTTCTGTTTTTCCTCCCAGTTGCCATCCTAGCGGTCATGAGATGACAGCTCATAGTTTTGATTTGTAAATCTCTATGATTTCTAATTTCTAATGATTAGTGATATTAAGCATCTTTACATGTGCTTATTGATTTTTTAAAAAAAAATATTTATTTATTTATTTCATACAAGCACTGGGTACAGTCAGAAGCGCGGGAGGGTGAGAGAATTCGCCAGAGCCAGAGCAGGGAGCAGAACAGGCAGACTGATGAAATACACTGCTGAGGGGAGCAGCGGACGTGGCAGGAGAGGTCTGTTGAGACATGTGTCCCACCGCCGGGGATCAAACCGGCGCTGCAGAGGCTGTGGGCAGCTTCCCAGCCCAGAGCTCAACCGCTGCGCCACCAAGGGAGGCCCTGCTTATTGATCATTTTTATACCATCTTTGGAGAAGTATCTAGTCAAGTCCTTTTACTCATTTCAGAATTGGGTTGCTATTGAATTTAAGGTGTCCTCTCTCTCTCTCTCTCTCTCTCTATATATATATATATATATATACCTCACCAGATATATCATCTGCTAATATTTTCTCCCACTTGGTGGGTTGCCATTTCACTCTGTTCATAGAGTCTCTTTTTTTTTTTTTTTAAACTTTTTTTTTAATAGGTTTTTTTTTTTTTTTAATAGAGGCATGTTTTATTTATTTATTTATTTGTTTGTTTTGTTTATGCATGTGCTGGGTACAGTCAGAAGCGCGGGAGGGTGAGAGAATTCACCAGAGCCAGAGCAGGGAGCAGAGCAGGCAGAAGGACCGAAGTACACTGCTGAGGGGAGCAGCGGGTGGCAGGAGAGGTCTGCACGCCATGTGGGACCCTCCTCTGGTGGCCGGGGAGCAGCCGGGGATCGAACCGGCACCACAGAGGCCGCGGGCAGCTTCGCAACCCAGCGCTCAACCGCTGCGCCACCGGGGAGGCCCCATAGGGTCTCTTGGTGTACAAAATTTTAAACTCTTCATGAAGCTTAATTTGTCTATTTTTTCTCTTGTTGCTTGCAGCGTTGATGCCATATCACTAAAAAATCATTGCCAAACCCAGTGCCCTGAAGCTTTTGCCTCGTGTTTTATTCTAAGAGTTTTATAGTTTTAGCTCTTATATTTAGGTCTTTAACTCATTTTGAGTTAGTTTTTAAAATTTATTTTTTTATTCAGGTAAAGTTGGTTTATAGCATTGTGTATGATTTAGGGAAATAAACCTCCTCGGATGAATGTCATCATAGTGAAGTAAAATGGCTTCTGTACAACTCTGAAACCTTTATGAAAGGAATGCAAAAAAGTAGTTCACACATACCTCCAATCCTTCCCCCCAGTTTCCCTTACTATTAACATCTTTCCTTTGTGAGGTACAATGTTACAATTGATGAACTGCTATTGATACACTATTATTAACTAGGGTCTATAGTTTATATTAGGGTTTGTAGACCAACCAAGGGTCTTTCTCTGGTGCTTCTGAATCACAAGAAATGTCTTTACACTGAGGAGTTTGAGATGATCATCAAGGGAGTAAGTGGGATAGGCATTCCTAAACCACTGGCTCTCTGGGGTTACACAAGCGGGGGTGGAATGTGAGGAAGTACAAGAGCTTCACAATTCCAGGTCTGAGGAGGTGCCTGGCAGTCCAGGTGACATGAGCCAAAGTGTTTGACTTTCCCAGTAGAGTGTTTTCTCAGCACTCAGCAGGTATTCGTTTCTGATGCCACTGTCACAGATACACAGAATTTTAGTAGGGATGTAACACAATTAATTTTCCAAGTTCCCAGAAATGCAGGTGGGATCAGGTAACAGAGACAAACAGGTCAGTTAATTGGGGGGGGGGGGAAGTACAGTTGAAGATGCTAAAATTGAAGGATTTTTCCTTTAAAAATAGTTTAATACTGATAAAACATAATAGGGGAAATAGTGATACCTGAGCAACAACAACTTACATACTTGTTTATTTTTGGTGTTATGATTCATGTAATCTAATAAATAGTAATATCTTAAATGTGATATCTTGATTCATCCTAAGATTTTGTGGCTACTCTAACTACCTTCAACTCAGCTGATTTAGTTGAATTATTGTCACTGCAATTAAGAGGTCTTAATTGCATACAGAAAGGGAGGAAGGCTCTGCGGAGCCAAAAGTCAGCAGAGACTAACCTAGGGGCGGCCAATGTCCTCCTCCCTTTCAATCCAGAGACATTGCCCCCTCCCCCTTTCCAAGGTAGAACTGCCCTCCACCTTGCTTCCGCTTCTGGGTATGACTTCATAGCTGGTGGGTTCTGCAGTATCCTGGAGTTCAAGGTTGTTAAGTAACGGATTTCAGGAGACTGGCTTCTCCCTGGTGGTGTACAGACAATGGCGATGAAGAGAAAACCAGAGATCCTCCTCTTCTTGGTTCTCTTCCTGGACTGTTGGCAAGGTGCAGAGCTCCATCCTTTTCACCTGATCAAAGGAACTGTCCTAGTATATTGTTGTGGCAGATAGAGAAGTGTGAGACTCATGGGAGCCAGCTCACCTCCCATAGGAGTTGAGTGGTGAGCCTTTCTCCCTACCTTGAATCTAACATTAGGGATTTCTTGCTCAGAAGGGAGTACCTTTAACATTTTTCCTAAGTTTGAAGCTTTCTCAAAATCCAGAGCTGTGTGGGAGGGCAGGACACATTTGAACCTTTCATTACAAAATTTTTCAAACATACACAAAAGTATAAAAGTTAGCATGATGACCCTCTGTGAGCATGCCTATTTTGTTTTATACCTCTCTTCAAATACAGTATATTTAAAAGAACTGATTTATTGAGATATAATTCATGTAAGAAGAAATCATTCTTTGAGAGTATATAATTCTGCAGTTTTTAGCACATTCACAGAGTTGTGAATCACCACTATGTAACTTCAGACATTTTCATCACTCCAAAAAGCAGCATCACACTCCTTACCTGTCACCTCTCATTTCCTTTTTTTTTTCACACCCCCTGGCAACCGTGAGCACACTGTCTGCTCTTAGATTTATGTATTTTACACATTCCCTATACATGGAATCATTCAATATGAAATGTTTTGTGACTGATTTCTATCATTTAACATGTTTTCAAGGTCATGTTATAGCATGCATTAAAAAATCATGCTTACTGGGCTTAATGAAGGGCATACATTCTGAGAAACCCATTGTTGTGATCTTGTCTTTGTGCAAACATCATAGAGTATCATTACCCTCACCTAGACATGATGGCCTACAGCACTGCTAGGCTGTATGTAAACCACTGTTGTTAACTAAGGCATCCTAGGCAGCACATGACTGTGTTTCCTTCTTTTTCATGGCTGAATCATATTCCATTGAATGAATGTACCACCTCTTGTTAATCCACCTCTAAGTTGATGGACTTTTGAGATGTTTCCACATTTGGATATTCTAAATGATGTAGGACCCTACAAAGCATGGAAATCTAATGTTCACTTTGAAAAAGTATGTTCACAAGATATTTACAACAGCAAACTTTCAGTTAGGGAAAGGGGAGACAGTTACTACTGTTGGCAGGGCACTTTAAAAGTCAAAGATTTGTGAACAAAATAAGATTTATTTATTTATGCATACAACAGCTAGAGTACAGGCCAGAGGTGTGTGTGTGGGGGAGGGGGGGGTGAGAGGATTCACCAGAGACAGAGTGGGGAACAGAACAGGCAGACTGAAACACACTGCTGAGGGGAGCAGTGGGTGAGACAGGAGAGGTCTGCTTTGCCATGTGGGTTGCTCCCTGGCTGACTGGAGATCAAACTCGTGCTCGTGCTGCAGAGGCTGTGGACTGCCTCACAGTGCGATGCCCAACCCCCTGCGCCACCAGGAGCCCTATATTGACTCTTAATATCGGTTATTGAGTATTATTATATTTATTCTTAATAATTTACAGTTTCTTCAAAAGAGAATGTTTTGTTTCCTTCATTTACCAAACTGTCTTCCTGGAAACAATGCCCATGCATCATTAACACATGATTACCGGTTTTCCTGTGGAATGCTGCCATGTACACAAATTACTAAATGGCTGTGCAGATTATCTGTAAGGAAACCATGTGAAAATTAACCTTGTCCCTGGTTTTCAGTTAAAAGTTCAGATTCTTGCAGATTCTTCATGTGTGCTTGGTGGTGCTCAGAATAAGTGAGTGCTGTGGCTCTGACAAACCCTTCATTGGGGGAAGGCTTTACTTTCTTGGTGGTTTATATACTCCTCTGGGACCAGGAAAAAAAAAAAAACTAAACTAAACTAACTTTGACCTTGAATCAAGTAAATGCGTTTGGACAATGAGTTATCTCAACTTCCATAAAGAAAAGCCTGAAATTCTAGCTCAAAATCTCCACACGTTGCTACAGTCTTTTAGCACAATTAATGCACATTGTTGATGCAGCCACTGAATGTCCACGGAAGTCTTGAGCTCGATCCATGATGTCCTGGGGGAGGCGTTGACCCAGCCCCCTCCCATCTGCACTTTATGTTTTGTTGTCAGGGGACCCACCAGGGATCAGTGTGCCTGTGTCCCCAACCGACTTGGAACCAGCTCCATTTACTTCCATTCCTGTAGATAATACCCCTGATCTGTGATAAGGGAAGGATTTACTGCTCAATCTACAGAGCCTGTCAGCAGATTTTATCTGCCACTCCTCACAGGCTTCCTGGGGCTTGGCTGTTCCCCACCAATCTCAGATGAGAAAAGCAAAGCCCGCAGAGCATCACTGCCCAAGAGTGTGCAGTTTGGCCTGGAAGCCAAGCTCTTTCCCCTAGAGCAGGCCAGTTGCATGATGCTCCTCTCTGAACACCATGTAGGAAAATGTTGTTTTAAAGAGAATACAAGCAGAGCTAATGAAAGATTCACTCACAGCAAAACTTTATTTCCCCCACAGCTTTAAATACTAGTTCTTCATCAAACTCAAAAAACTTGGAGCAAGACTTGGCTAAAATAATTGGTAAGTACCCTCCCCATGTACAATTGTCAATCTGTTGGAAGGCGTGCTGAAGACATGATTATCCTTGGTTGATTTCCAGGGAAGCTGTTCTTGCTGCCTTGATGGGAAGGAAAGTGCTTTGTCATTTTGGTTTCGTCTTTTTTCAAATTGATTTACCACTCCTTTACACAACTATATCATTCTGAAATTACAACTTTACACCTTCATAGATGCATGTGTTTCAATCACCCTCCACCAAAGCCCTGATGTAAATACCTAATGGCCTCCTGCTTCTTCTTCTCCCTTGGATGATCAGTATATTTTTCACAGAGTCTAAAGATTATTCTTGCTGTCTTGCCAGTTTTCTTTGTTTGTTTAATATTCTGCAAATGAGTGACTCCATCTGTCACTGATTTTCACTTTCTGGCTTATCTCACTTAGCATGGTCACCTCAAGATCTATTTTGTCCCCAAAAGCACTATCTCATCATTTTAAATAGCTGAGTAGTATTCCATTGAGTGTATAGTCCACAATTTTCCTATCTAGATGTCTGTTGTTGGACACTTAGGTTGGTTTCAAGTCTTGGCTACTGTGAATAATGATGCTATGAACACAGGTGTGCATAAGTCTTTTTGTATGTGTTTTTATATTCTTTGGATAGATAACTCTATCTGGGGGGGGGTGGTGGTGGTGGTATTACCGGGCCATATGGAATTTACTTTTTTTTTTTTTTGAGGAATCTCCATATCATTTTCTACAGTGGTCGCACCAAGTTACATTCCCACTAACAGTGGATGAGTGTTCCTTTTTCTCCACTTCTTTGTTAACATGACTTGTTTCCTTTTTTTCTAAAAAGATTTATTTATTTATGCATGGAAGTGTGGGGGTGAGAGGATTCACCAGAGACAGAGTGGGGAACAGAAGAGGCAGACCGACTGAAATATACACTGCTGAGGGGAGCAGTGGGCAAGACAGGAGAGATCTGTTGTGCCATGTGGGTGGCTCCCTGGTCTGGGATTGAACTCATGCTGCAGTGGCTGCCAATAGCTTCATAGGTTGAGTCTTAACACCTTGCGGCACCAGGGAGGCCCTTGTTTCCTTTTTGATATGGGCCATTCTCATGCGGTTGAGGTGATATCACTGTAATAAACTATGTGGAACTTTTTTTTTTTTTTTTTAAAGATTTATTTATTTATTTATTTATACAAGCACTGGGTACAGTCAGGAGCGCGGGAGGGTGAGAGAATTCACCAGAGCCAGAGCGGGGAGCAGAGCAGGCAGAAGGACCGAAGCACACTGCTGAGGGGAGCAGCGGGCGGCAGGAGAGGTCTGCGCGCCATGTGGGACCCTCCTCCGGTGGCCTGGACGGGAGCAGCTGGGGATCGAACCGGCACTGCAAAGGCTGTGGGTAGTTTCGCAAGCCAGCACTCAACCGCTGCGCCACTGGGGAGGCCCTGGAACTTTTTTTTTTTCATGTGCCCATTGGCCATCTGTTTACTTCTCTGGAGAAGTGTCTATTTAGATCTTTGCCCTTTTTTTTTTTTTTTTTTTGCTTGTTGAGCTATTTGAGTCTGTCTGTTTTGGAAACAAGACCCGTGTCAGACCTATGATGTGGAAATATCTTCTCCCAGTCCACAGGTTGCCTTTTAGTTTTTATAATGGTTTCCTTCACTGTAAAAATGATGTTTAGTTTTATGTAGTTCCATTTGCTTATTTTTGCTTTTGTTTTCCTTGTCACTGGAGTTATATCCCAAAATATGTATCTGCAGTTGATGTCCAAGAGTGTGTCACCTATATTTTCTTAGCTGCATTTTATGGTTTCAGGTCTTAATTCAAGTCTTTAATCTATTTTGAATAATTTTTGTGCATGGAGTTAAGTGAGGATATAGTTTCACCTTTTCTTTTCTTTACTTTTTCTGCATGTTTCCAAATACTGTTTGTTCGAGTCTTTTCTTCCCCCATTGTATGGTCATGGTTCCATTGTCAAAGATTAACTGTCTGTATTTATTTCTGGGCTCTCTATTCTGTTCCATTGGTCTGTGTTTTGTTTTTGTTCTAATACCATACAGCTTTAATTACTATCACTGTGTAGTATAGTTGAAGTTAGGAGTGTGATATAGCTCCATTTTCTCCTTTTCTCTCAGGATTTTTTTTGGCTATTCAAGGCCTTTTGCTTTTCCATATAAATTTTAGAATTATTTTACTTTCTTGAAAAATGATTTTTTTAAAAATAGATATTGTATTGCATCTGTAAATTATTTTAGGCAATAAAATCATTTTATCAGTGTTTATTCTCCCAACCCATGAATTCAGAACATTTTTTCATTTCTGTGTCTTCTTTTATTTCCTTTGACAATCTCTTATACTTTCCAGCATATAGATCCTTTGCCTCCTTTGCTAGGCTTACTTCCATGTATTTCATCTTTCTTGGTGTGATTGTAAATAGAATTATTTTCTTAATTTCTCTTTTCCCTGATTCATTGTTTATACATAGAAATTCAACCAATTTTTGTATGTTGATTTTGTATTCTGCCACTTTTTGTATTCAGTTATTATCACTAGTAATTTTTTCATAGTCTTTTGGATTTTCTGTGTGTATTATGTCATCTGTGACTAATGATAATTTTATTTCTTCCTTTCCAATTTGAATTCCTTTTATGTCTTTTTCTTGCCTAATTTCTTTGGTTAGGAATTCTAATATAACATTGAACAAGTGGTGAAAGTGGACATCCTTTTTTTGAAATGTTTTCGGTTAGTCACCGTTGAGCGTGAGTTGGCTGTGGGTTTGTCACATCCCACTTTATTGTATTGAGATAAGCTCCTGTTACTCCCATATTATTATCATAAATGAGTGAAATCTTGTCAAATGCCCTTTTTTAAAAAAAGATTTATTTATGTATGCATACAAGAGCTGGGGTACAGGCCAGAGATGTGGGGGGGGGAGGGTGTGTGTGAGAGGATTCATCGGAGACAGAGTGGGGAACAGAACAGGCAGACTGACTGAAGTACACTGCTGAGGGGAGCAGCGGGCGAGTCAGGAGAGGTCTGCTGCGCCATGTGGGTTGCTTTGTGACCGAGGATCGAACTCATGCTGCAGTGACTGTGAATAGCTTCAGAGGTTGCGTCTTAACCCCTTGCGCCACCAGGGAGGCCCTGGTCAAATGCCTTTTTAGCAGCTCTTAAGATGATCGTGTGATTGAGTCTTTTTTTTCCTAATGTGGTGGCTGATTTGTGTGTGTGGAACCTCTCTTGTGTCTCTGAGATGAATCCTGCTTGGTCATAGTAGGTGATTCTCTTAATATATTGCTGGATTTGATTTGCATAAACATTGTTGAGGATTTTTGCATCTATGTTCATTAGAGATGTTGGAGTATAGTTTTCCTTTTTTGTGCTGTCCTTGTTTGGTTTGGGTTGAACAAGGTAATGTTGGCCTCATAAAATGTGTTTGGGAACTTTCCTCCCTCTTCAGTTTTTTTTTTTTTTTTTTTATAGAGGCATGTTTTATTTATTTATTTGTTTATTTGTTTGTTTTGTTTATACAAGCACTGGGCACAGTCAGAAGCACGGGAGGGTGAGAGAATTCACCAGAGCCAGAGCGGGGAGCAGAGCAGGCAGAAGGACCAAAGTACACTGCTGAGGGGAGCAGCGGGCGGCAGGAGAGGTCTGCGTGCCATGTGGGACCCTCCGCCATGTGGGACCCTCCTCCAGTGGCCGGGGAGCAACCGGGGATCGAACCCGCGCTGCAGAGGCTGCGGGCAGCTTCGCAACCCAGCGCTCAACCGCTGCGCCACCGGGGAGGCCCCCTCTTCAGTTTTTTTTAATCCTGAAAGCAAGTTTTAGAAAAACTTAAACACATTGCATAACATTAAAACTGAAGGGAAAAAACCCACCAAAAGCCAGTTTGTTGCTTCTTATGACATTGGGCAGCTGTTTCCAGGAAGTTGTAAGCTCAACAGCTGGAGCTATGTGACTCCAGTTTGAAATCATCAGTTTGAAATTTGGCTCCCATGTCAAAAGTTTAACTCTGATAAAAGATTGGCTGAAATTCTGGTCATTGATTAGCAAGGATATGTGAGGTCAAAAAAGACATTGGCAGTGAGCCAGATGTCCTCCTACCTCACTTGAGGGAAGGTGGTCAATCTGAGCTCTCTTGGCTTCTGTTCGTTCTTGGCTTCTTCTTGGCTTCTGCTGGCGTCCCCATGACGCCGCCCTTAAAAGCCCAGTCTCAGCCCAGGTGAATCCCATCTACCTATGCCCACACCCTACTCCAGGTGCCCGCCATCAGGCGTGCATTCAGGACCGCAAGGATCCATCATCTATCCTGATGGTGGGAGGGCAGAAAAGCCTGACATTTTTTTTCTTACCCTACGCAAATGTTCTTAAAACCCACAAACCTTCAGCTGATTGTTCTTAGCCAGTCCAGTTTCTGGGATCATCTGGCATAAGCTGGTTATTAAGCTGGTCACACCGTAGCTGAATTATTTCTCCATATCCTGGATGCTTAACCACACTACCATCACACTCGTTAACCACCTTCACCAGTTTTTTCTTATCGTGATCATCAGCGATCCTTTGGATCTTACTGCCATTTCTTTATTGCGTTCTTACATGGATATAATCTGCAGGGCCAGCAGTAAGCAGACCATCAACCTTACTTGCATCAGCAAAGCGGTTGAAAGAGTGGAGGTTCTGGGTATAGGATACCATAATATTCCTTTCCCTGGGTGGAAGTGGCCTGCAGGAGGCAGGGGAGAGGAGGGATGGGGGTGGGGCGCGGATAAATTACCTGGAAGCTGGGAGGCTGCTGAGTTTGTGACAATGGCTCAATGTCTGGACGGGGTCTTTTCTATTTTACTTTTGAAGAAATTGAGTGTAGAAGGCAGGAACAGACCACAGTGCAGGTTTTCCGATCCCATGCAGACTGGGTAAAGGAGGAGTCAGAGTCCTCAGTGGTTTTGCAGGTTTTTATTGGGGTTCAGTGGGTATGTGGCAGGCAGGGGTACTGGGGGGCTGGGAGGCTG